TGAATCGTACCGAGTACGATTAAAACCCGAAATCTTACGATTAACAGGCCTTTTCTTCGATCTTCTTCAGCTTATTGCGATGAACATTTGGCTGTTCCACCGTGAATTTGCACATTTAAGCACAAAAGATGAAAACAAGCCAAATTCTGGATCCATCCAGAACGACCAGGTAACNTCGATCTTCTTCAGCTTATTGCGATGAACATTTGGCTGTTCCACCGTAAATTTGCACATTAATGCACAAAAGATGAAAACAAACCAAATTCTGGATCCATCCAGAACGACCAGGTAACCACGAATCCATAACGAACCATCGAGCAGCTCCAAGTTGACGGGAATCAGCAGTCGTTGGCATTTCAGTCCATGTCTTCATGCGATGCTTATTGCTAAGCAAAACAAGAAGGGGAGACCCAGAAATGCGGATGGCTATTTGAATCCCTAGACCATGCGATGCTAATCATTCATGGACATCGAAACTCAAACGCCGAACTTAAGCACGAGACCGAAATCTCTCGCTTAAGCTCCGCGCTATAAAGCGCTTTCTTCATGATTTTGTGGCGAGATACCATAATTTTGCTGTTAATGCATACTATATGGTCGGGCAAGCGCTTATTTAAAAAAAANACAAGAAGGGGAGACCCAGAAATGCGGATGGCTATTTGAATCCCTAGACCATGCGAGGCTAATCATTCATGGACATCGAAACTCAAACGCCAAACTTGAGCACGAGACCAAAATCTCTCGCTTAAGCTCCGCGCTATAAAGCGCTTTCTTCATGATTTTGTGGCGAGATACCATAATTTTGCTGTTAATGCATACTATATGGTCGGGCAAGCGCTTATTTAAAAAAAAATAAGCGCCTTTCCAGGCCGACTTAGCTCGATTGAAGCTGTGCACTGAAGCAGCGCTGCAACGCTAACAACCTTACATAAGTCGACTATCACTATTCGTCGATTTCTCGACGATTGTCTTGCCACATAATATAGAAAAATCGACTACAGATCAGTGGGCTGGGATAATGATAATTGTTATTGTCAAAAATCATTGGATACCTTTATGCAGTTGATAAGTATGTTGAAAAAAAAATTTCGGATACATTAAAGTTGTTGATAAATGTGTTGGAATAATTTGAAAGAAGTAGCAAGGTCCAAAGTTAGGATACTTTTGTATCAGTCCCTATATATTTTTTAAGAAAAATCCTCTGATATCGAGGATTTACGAGATCGACACACAAACCTGTTTGTATCGGCTGTTATTCGAATGCATCTTTGCAAAGATACATTGATTCCATATTGAGCATGCGCGTTCGGACTGGAAAAAAACTTTGAAAAAATTTCAGAAAAAATTAATATTTTCCATTGCATTTGTATTGGCAAAACATTAATTTGTATCAATATCAATTGTGTTATAACAATAGTTCAGTGAGGTTAAGTTGATTGGCTATGATTCATGGTTCAGTGAGGTTAGGTTGATGGCTATGATTCATAGTTCAGTGAGGTTAGGTTGATGGCTATGATTCATTGTTCAGTGAGGTTAAAATTTTCTAAAGTTGAAAAACGTATTGTTGAAAACTTTATGCAAGAAATGAAAAATATTTTCAAAATGATCAATTTATTCATGTAAATCAAGGATATTGTTGATTTGTTTGACAAATTATCATTATCTTTATCGAATTAAAAATGAGTCAAAATGATTTGAAAAACTTTATTTGAAAGTCTTACTTGTGATTTTCATAAAAGTCATAATTCAATTTGATACTTATAAGTGGGAAAAATGTATCATTTTTCGAATTGAATATATTAAATTAACCTGAAAAAAATGTTACAAATTTTATAAAATGTAATTGATACTTTTATTAAGTTACAATTGGAAATTGATTGTGTCGAATTTATAATTGTATCGCTCATGAAATAGAATGGCTTACGCCATCTTTAGAAATTATCTGAAATTATGTTCATTTGAACACGTTCTTTACGAATGATTATAATTCTGCTGAGCGAAAATATTTGGTCCATGCTTTTTCATTATTTTTTTTTCTTCAAATTGTTACATTTTCTATCAAATCAAAACAAATTCATCCGAAAAAAATGAGACTTACCATTGAATTGGTTGAAGGTGCATTTCAATTTATGAACAAATCAACTGGTGATCGTGAATTAGATTTACGTGATTATAAAATTACAACATTGGAAAATTTGGGTGCAACATTAGATCAATTTGATGCTATTGATTTTACTTCGAATGATATTCGTACATTAGAAAATTTTCCATTATTAAATCGTATTAAACGTTTATATTTTAGTAATAATCGTATTTCAAAAATTGATGAACGTCTTCATGAATCGATACCGAATCTAGAAGGTCTTATTATGATCAATAATCAACTACAAGAACTTGGTGATCTTGATTCATTAGCTGGATTTAAAAAATTAACAACACTTGCATTGATGGGTAATCCAGTATCAACAAAAAAACATTATCGATTATATTTAATACATCGAATACCATCAATACGTTTATTGGATTTTAAAAAAGTTAAAATAAAAGAACGTAATGAAGCAGATAAATTGTTTAGTGGTGAAAAGGGAAAACGATTGGAAAATGAAATTGGTATTAAATCGAAAACATTTGTTCCAGGTGGTGAACTAATAAATGGCAGTGGTGGCGGTGCAGGTATTCAACCAAATAATCAACGTAAACAATTAACAACGGAAGAAATTCAAGCAATTAAACAAGCTATTTCAAAAGCCAATACATTAGAAGAAATGGAACGTTTAAAATTATTATTAAAACAAGGATATATACCAAATAGTAATAATCAATGATGGATCTCAATTTAAAACTTTTTTTCATTTTCATTTTATAATAAATAAAACATTGTTCAATGAAAGACAAAATTCAAATTTATTTACAAAATAATAATAATAATAATTGTTTGCTTGTGAATTAGGTTTTTTTTTTGATTATAAAGAAGAACCAAAAAACTATCTATCTATTGTTAATCAAGGGAATTATTTTTGTTTTTTTTAGTTCAAAATTTCTAAATAAGCAACAGGAACTTTTCCTTTTTGTCCATCGCTTAATCTTTCACCATACATCCAATCACTGACATCATTCATTGATTCATTATTATTTTTATGATGATCAATCAATGTTACGTAAATAATTTCATCAGCTAATAATGAAAGTTCATCATTTGATTGTGCTTGATAATTATTCAAACATTTTGCACGTCGTTTATTATTATTATTGATGATGTTGTTGGTAGTTGATGAACTTAAATCAATTGGATTGGTAGCAATATTGTTTTTATTATTATTGTTTGAATGATGAATCAAATCGATTGCTTCCATAGCAGTTGAAGTAGAATTATTTGATAATGATGATGTTCTCATTCTATGATTATTTGATGTCATCTTCAAATCATTCATCAATGTACCACCATTAGACAATGATTGGTCATTCAATATGGATAATGATAATGGTTGATTTATTTCTCGTTGAAGATTTGCCATATGACGAAAACATTGATGATAATATTCAATTTGACATTGAGCAAAATCATTCAAACAACGAACATGATTTGCCTGATTGTTGTATATAATATAAAAAGGAAAATGTTTAGATTTTTTCATCATAAAACATTAAAATGATGATGACAAACCTGAGCACTTGTAATACCCTCAAGCAACAATTTAGTTATTTCAATTTGTCTATCAAATTCTTCTTGACAATGTTTGAGATCACGTTCAGCCTATATTTATTGGAAAAAAATTATCATCAATTTACCATGATTTAAAAAATTTTAAAGCAGAATTTTAAGGAAAAATAAAGAAAAATCTTTGTATCAAACCTCTTTGATTTCATTTTCAATCATTTCTGGTTTAAGTTTAGGCTTTTAAAAAAAATTGTAAGCATGAATTAAGACAAAAAAAAACATTATCCAAGTTAAAACATCATCATTAGGAAAATGAAACATACAAGTTTTTAATATCAAAAATATGTTGCTATTGAACTTACATTATTTTGACTATCTTGACTTTTAGCTTTACGAAGACGACTTTTAGCTGCATCTAAATCCAAACGTTTTGTTTCAAGAACTTTACGTTCTTTTGCAATTGTTTTCATATCTTCATCCAAAAATTTTCGTAATGGAATGATTATTGTACGATATGAATTTTGTACAAAATCTTTTTCCGCTTGTCCTAATTCAGTTTGATGTTTACCAATTTTAACCAATGCTGAACCATATAATGTTGTCGGACCAAATGCAATACCAGCATCAATCATATCATTACCCAAATATTCTAAATTACGTAAACGATTATCACGTGATTTAATCAAATCATTATTTGAACCCATTGTACGTTCAATTAACATTTCACCATATCTCATGTCTATTCATTTTGGTTTATAATAATTTCGAAATGAATTTATTCTAGAAAAAAACAATAAAACCAATAGAAACAAACTTGGATTTGGTTGTATAACGGCTTCTAATTTGGAAACAATTCTTTCGGTCCATTGTCGATAACAATCAGCACGTTCAGCTAATTTTTCATATTCATTATCTAATTCGGTACGTTCAGCAGTACCAATTGTTTCTTCTGCATACTAAAACAAAACATTAATAAAAGAATTCAACCATAAAATAAAATAATAAATTTCACCTGTTTAGCACGTGTAAAAACAGTTGTTACATCTGAAACAAGATTTTTTAAACTTTTCGTACTAAAATCCATATTTTATTAGGATTAGGTTACGGTGAAACGTGTTAATCAAATGATGATTATCCAAATAAAAAACTGAGATAAAAGTTTAGATTAATAAAACACTTTCAAAGATCAATTGTTTTGATTATTGTGGTTTATGGTGTGTGTTTATGTTTTTCTGGGAATGAGTACACACACAAACAGATAGAAAATTATATTTTAACAAAATGATCAAACATATAACGTGAGATCATTAGGACAAAACAAAACAAAACAAAAAAATGTATAGTGTTTAGGATTTTGATTCCTGTTGATGTTTGGTTGGTTGTCGTTGGTAATATCGTTGTTGTTTTTTTTTTGGAGAGGAAAACGACGATTATGATAAATAATATGCCATATGTCTTTTTGCAACAAAAACATTCGAAATGTTTTGTTTGCTGTTGTTTGTTTTTCAAATTAATCTTACTCATATAAATGACAATCTTAACTTTTTCTTGTCGTTTTTTCTTCGCTTTTCACATAATGATGATAATAATGATGATAAAAATATCAACGAGTTTTACTGTGTTTATAATTTGTTGAGCTTTTTTTTGTTTACTGTTTGCTTGATGTATATTGTATACACACAAAAATGCGTAGGAAACTTTTACCAAAGAAAAAGTTAAACACAAACAAAAAACAAAAACGTAGCCGATAAAGTATTTTTATTTTGTCGTTGCTGCTGATATATATCAATATTTTTTTGGTTTTTTTTCTCTTCTTTTTCTTATATAATTTCACTATAGTTACCAATTGTATATGCTTGTCTCGCTATATTTTGTCCAATATAGAATGTTTGATGCCATCATCATAATGATGCATTGCAGTGGCGCATTTCGTTACATTTTAATTGAATTGACAAAGGAAATTACAATGAAAAAAAGCAATGAAAATTTTTGATTTTTCAATTTAATAAAAAAAAAATTTTAAGGAACGAAAAACAAATGATGAAATCACGTGATGTAATAAAAATTCGAATGTTCCAAAAATAATCGATTGTTTTTTTTTCACTATCGATCGAACAAAACACAAAACATCCTTTTCAAAAAACAACTGAAAAAACCCGATTAATTTATTTTCAAAAGAAACATTTTTAAAAATTTTAAATTTGTTTACAAAATATATGAAAAAATAAATGAAATTTTCATTACAAATCATTAATCAAAACGATTATTATCATCATTATCATTATCATTATCATTTTGTTTATTCGAATCTGAATTCAATAATAATTCTTCATCATCATCAACAACAGCTAAATCTTCTTCATCCAATATTGGTTCAACAATAGTTTTATCCATATTTTCCATCAAATTTGAACGTAATTTATTTTTATGTGTAATTTTTGCCAATTGATAAAGATTAGCAAACATTGAACGTCCAGTTTTTTTACACATTTCATAAAAAATACCTTTATTTCTAAGTAATAAATATGGTATATCAAATTCAACAATTTCACCAGCATCCAATACTAAAACACGATCACAATCAATAATTGTATTTAAACGATGTGCAATTGTTAATACAGTACAATCACTGAATTTTTCTCTTATTGTTTCCTGTATAAGTTTATCTGTTTGATGATCAACATTTGCTGTTGCTTCATCCAATATTAATATACGATTATTTTTCAATATTGCTCGTGCCAAACAAATTAATTGTCGTTGACCAACACTTAAATTACTACCACTTTCAGTAATCTGTCCACTTAATTTACCTTTATAATTATTAACTTGTGTTTTAAGTTGTACTTCTTCTAATGCTTTCCAAATATTATCATCATCATATTCATTAAATGGATCAAGATTATATCTTACTGAACCACTAAATACAACTGGATCTTGTGGAATAATTGATAATTTTTTTCTTAAATCTTTTAAACCAATTGATTTTGTATCAATATTATCAATACGTATTGAACCATCAATTTCGGTTAAACGAAACAATGCAGCAATTAATGAACTTTTACCTGCACCAGTACGACCAACAATACCAATTTTTTCACCACCCAATATTGTACAATTTATATTTTTTAATACAGGTTTATCACTACCTGAATAACGTAAATACATATGATCAAATTCAATTGTACCTTCAGTTGGCCATTCATTTGATGGCCGTTTTTCAGGTTCTGATTCAGCTAATGGTTCTTTTGGTAAATCTTGATATTCAACAATACGTTCAACTGATGTCATTTGACTTTCAAATTCAGCTGATTGTCTTACAGCCCATTGTGTCATACCGGCTAACATTAAACCTGATGATATAGCCAGTCCGGCGCTACCACCTTGCATATCTAAAAGTAGCAAAAAAAAACATTGATGAAAAAATGTATCAAAATTGTAGCAAAAAAAATCTAACCTTTTGACATCATAATAACAAATGAAATAACAGCAATATAAATTGTTGCAATCCAATCAATAATTAAACCCATACATCTTGATGAACTAATAAATAAAAACCATGTTGCACTATGATCATTTTGATAGATAAAAAATTGTCGTTCAAATGCTTTTTGTGCACCAAATGCTCGTATCGATGCTAATCCATTGATTGTTGTACTTATATGTGAATAAACTGGACTTCGTGCTGAAAGAAAATTGCAACAAAAATCATTATGTAATCATCAAACAACCAAGAAAAACAACAACAACAGCCAAAAACACTTACCTAAACCTTCAAAACGTTTAATATCACGTGCAGATTTAATATAAATACCACGCATAAAAAATATAATAATTGTAAGAAAAATTGCCGGTAATATTAACCACCAATTTACAATTGAAACAGTAACAATAATACCGATTGCTTGTGAAAATGTTAAATTCAAATCATATGCAGTACTTGGTAACATTTCATCAATAATACCTAAATCTTTTGTAAAACGATTCAATATACGACCGGCTGGATTTTGATCAAAAAATGCTACTTTTGCCTGTAGTAATCGTTCGAAAATTTGATTATGAAGACGTTCAGATGCACGCATACAAATTTGAAAAAATGATACTGAACGAACAATTGTTGTTATGAACAATGTACCGATTAATATTGAATATATTATAATATCTTGATGTTGTTCTTGATCTGATATTTGATTTTCACCAAATTGATTTTTATTTGTCCATGCTGTTAAAAATATATCCGAACCATTGAAAATTGTTTGTGATAATACAAGAAATATAATCGTTATTGTCAAGGAAATAATTCCGGAACCAGCTTTTAAATATTCCCGGTAAACTTTCCATTTAATCGATCCACGTTGATATTGTTCTTCAGTTAATTTTGTATCGGATTTTGTTTCATCATCATCCTTATTATTATTTTTAATTTGATTTTCATTAGCAACAGTAGCAACAGCATTATCATCTGATGGTAAAACTTCAAAACCTTCAAAACCACTGGAAATTGTACGTGAACGTCCACGAATAGCACAATCAGTTGAAAATGTTTCTGAACCATCAAATGAATTTGAACTGGTTAATTTTTGATGTTCACCACCTTGACCACCACCACCACCACTTTGATCACTACCATCATTATCATTTGTAATAGATTTTTCATTCAATAAACTCATAAAATCAATACCCATTTGTTGTAATTCAGCAAATGTACCGAATGCTAAACAATCACCTTCTTTAAGTATAAGGATTTTTGTTGCTTTTTGTATAAATTGTATTTGATGTGTAACTAGGATACGAATCTTGGATTTCAAATGTTCAATGATACAATTTTCAAAAATATGTTCAGCAACACTTGTATCAACAGCTGATAATGGATCATCTAATAAACAAATATCTGGATTACGATATATTGCACGTGCTAAATTAATCCGTGCTTTTTGTCCACCACTTAATGATACACCTTTTTCACCAACTAATGTACGATCACCAAATGGCATTAATGTTAAATCTCTTTCCAATGCACAAACTTTTATAACTTGATCATAATGTTTTTGATCAAATGGCATACCAAACAAGATATTATTTCGGACACTTTCATTAAATGACCATGGATCTTGACTTGCATATGATATTGATCCTTCAATATCAATTTTACCTGATTCAATTGGTAATTCACGTAATATACTCATTAAAAATGAACTTTTACCTGAACCGACTGGCCCGATTACCGCTAATAAATCACCAGATTTTAAACGTACACTAATATTACGTAATGTTGGTTGCATTAATTCTTGACTCCATTTTGCAACAATATTATTGATTATTAATTTTGGTTCATTGATCAATGGTGGTGGTTGCGCTGGTGGCGGTGTTATCAGATTATCTTCAAGATTATTATTTTTACATTTTTTATCATCATTTTCTGAACAATGTTTTTGTTGAAAATTTTCTTTTTTAAATTTTTCCTGTTGCTGTTGATCCGGAATACATTCCATTTCTTTTAATAAAAGAAAATTTTCAATACGTTTACAGCCGATTAATAATTCCGAAGCCAGGCCGATTGAATTTGGAAAGAAAAATGTTATCGTCAGACGCAAGGTATTGAATAATGCCATTGATACGAATACTGCTTCCGATGTTAATTGATTACCAACCAATACATAGGTTATAAAACAAACAAACAATACAATACGTGTTGCAACAAAAAACATTGATAAATTTATTGCTTTCAAATAACATGCTTGTCGTATGTATTTTACTTCGGTTCTAAAAGGTAAAGCAAAGAGTAAGGCAAAGTAAAAATATTGAATTGTAGCAAAAAAAAATGGATACTTTTTTTTCCGTAAAAAAAAACAAAAAAACATACTTTCTTGCATCAGCAATACGATTTGCAAATGGTTTTTCCCATGAATACATTTTTATAACACGAATACCGGATGTAATTTCATTCATCAAACGTAATCTTTGATCAGTTTGTCGGGCAGTATTGGAACGTACACGTGAAAATAATCGACCCATATATACCTGTATTGGTATTAACAGGAATAATAAGGCTAGGCCAACAAAACAAGTCCATTTTATATAATCAAATAGAATATAGATTACAATCAACATTTGTATTGGTGATACAATCATATATGATACAAATATGCTAAACTAAAACGAAAACAAAACCAAAGGAAAAAGTATTGGTTATTTTTCAGGTTTATAATTTGTTTTTCAAGGGGGGTTAATCATTTTTGATTTTGATAATTACCTCATCCATACGATTAACATCATTAGACATAATATTAACAATTTGTCCTACGGCAGTTTGATTAACAGATGCACGACTTAAACGTAATGCTTTTTGAAACATTAGCGAACAACATGCGGTACGCATACGCATACCGATACGCATTGCCTGTATCATTGCTGGATGATGACATGATATGAAAAATGCTGTACAAATTGTTACACCGGCTGCTGACCAACATGCATCTTCATATGTAATTGTTTCATCATTTGAAAAATATCTAATAACACGACCAAGTAAAAATGGTTGTACAATACGTATAAAACATTCTTCAAATATATAACAAAATAATGGTATTATAAATGATGGACCAAATGCTTTTAATAATGCACGCCATAATTTTGGTTTTTCTTTTATTAATTCTTTTGTCCAACTTCTGTTAAATTTGATTTTTGATTTGTAATTTGTAATTTTTCAATTAAAAATTGCTACAAACAAACAGACAAAACAAACCTTTTTAATTGATTAAGACTTTTTTCTGCTTCATCATCTTTTGGACAACGATAAAGATCTTGAAAATCAAGTCCATTATTTTTAAAACCTTGATAAAATATTGGAAATATATAGCTATAATGGGAATGGGAATGGGATTCAAAAAAAATTATTTTTATTTTTATTTTTGTAAAAAATTCATTATAATCATTGTAATCAGACAAAACAAAAACATACGTAAAAATTAATTTAGATAGACAAAATGTACGATCAAATAATGATTTTCTTGTAAAACGTGAATGAATTTCCATAATTTTGCGATTTTTGAAATTTTTGAAAATTTCGATTTGGATTCAGTTGTTTTCCTTCTGGATGTCGATTTGTTTTTTTTTCACCAGAAACAAAACCAAAATGAAGGGAAGGAAAGGAAAAAAAATTTTAATTAAAAAAAATTTATTGCTTTTATAAATGGAAATTATAAAAATTTTCTTGTAATAATAATGATGATGAGGATGGCAGAAATAATAATAATAAAAAACCAACCGTAAATTAGTAAAATGATTTTGTTCTTTTGTTTCTCGTGATTATGATTATAATGATGATGATTAGAAGGGTTTTCAAATGATTCCCTTAAAATCATAAAAGTGTTAAATTTTACAGTAAAAAAAATTGCATCAAATCATCAATATCTGTTTGGTTGGGTTGTAAAAGTTGTGAAATTGTTAAAAATGGCAGGCTGTAAAATAACGGTGGATCCAAAAATCCAAAAATAAAAAAAAATTTGTATTTTTGAGTGCAAAACTTTTACCTGTGAAGATTAAAGTTCACCAAGAAAAGAAACAGAACAACAACAACAACAACAAAATTCAATTTCCGTTAAACAAAAATTTTTAATCTTTTTTTTTTGATTAATTTTATAAAAACAACGATAAACGGAAATTACATTGACAGGGTTAAATAATCAGGTAAACAAAAAAAAAATTATTTTTCACAATGTTTTTTTTTTGGCAGAAATGTACAAAGTTGATGTAATGTTCATCAATGGACGATGATTATGATGGAAATGTATGAAATGTATATGAAAAAACTTGATTGATTTGAACTGAGAATTTTGAAAAAAAGTTTTTTGTTTTGTTTGTTTTAGTTGTTGTATGTTTCATGATGATTAGATTTTGATATGATTTTTTTTCCTGTTTGATATCCATTTGATATCACATTTATGGCGATTTTTTTGAATTTTTTTCAGTTTTTGTTGATTGAAATTCGATATATATACATTTGCTATTTGCATATCCCGTTTCCTCTCGTTTTATTCATTGTTTATGTTTATTGATTGATTGATAATCATCATCATTATTTTGAATTGTTTTGCTACTTTTTTTAAAAAAATATTCAAGTATCGAAATAGATATGATTCGGACTATAACCAACAGTGGTGGTGATTGCAAGAATGTTTCATATGTATCTTTTATGTGTTTTTTTCCGATTGCAATCGATTTTTTCTGGTTTGTTTTGTTTATTTGGTTTTCTTAAATACCAAGAAATTTTTTCGTAATGATCATGAAATAAACTCTGTGTGTATCCGTGGTAATTTTTTTTTTTTGAGTTTATTATCGTCATCATCATTAGATTGATATAGTTTTTTAATGTGACCTATTCGAGTGCAAATAGATTTTCGAATGTTTTTTCGAATGTTGGTTGTGGTTTCTTATTCTTTTTTGTTCTTTGGAATGAAATATTTCTTGTGTAAACAAATAAACAACTAATAAAAAGTTTTCTTTTGGTTTAAACTTTTTCTTTAACTATCATTTTGATTGATTGTATCGATTTTTCAATCATTTTCATTTCTTAATATGTATCTTTTTTGTTTTGCTAACCAGCATTTCGAATTGGATCAAATCACGGAACTAATCAAATTTGAAATTTTCTTTTCTTTTCTTTTTTTTCGTTTTTTGTTTTGTGTTTTACTCAATATTCATAAACGATACGATCGATAGTTTCGTTCATCACGATTGTATCAATCTTTTGAATTCGAAAAATGGAACACAAACACATTCATTCGCACAAACTAAATAGAGATGCTACTACCTTTTAAAATAGATTCTATAACGAATCCAAACAAAAAAAATCGAAATCGTTTCAATCATGAATGTTTCAACATCATCATCATCATCATTTGGCATCACAGAATTTTCGAAAATAGCTATATAAGAATATAGCTATTTCTACCTTTCTATAGAATTTTTATAATATTTAGCATCCATACAAGTTTCTTTGCACTTTTATTATATCCTAAAGAATCGAATCAGATGTAATCAGTGAAAAAATTTATCTATCTTTCTATATATACTGAACAAATGGACACTACTACTACTGATTTGGATACCCGAAAAAAACCAAAAGATTCACATCACATCAACAACAACAAAAACAAGATCCTGGATTCACCACTACTGTTTTTTTTTGTTCCTGGTAAGTATGTTATTCAATATTGAAATTCTCTATGTATTGAGCAATATATGAAGGGTAGAGGAGGGTTAGTTTGGTTTGATTTCAATGGAATTAAAGAAGAAGAAGAAACTCACCAAAATTTCGGGAGCTTCTTCATTCATCCCGGTACTATCTATTCAATGGTTTTTTTTCTCTGTTTGGTATCTTCATCTGATCCAAACTAACATTTTGTTTATGCTACTTACTTTTGGTATCTATTTTTTGTCTGTCTATCACTATGAGGTTGAGTCTTCTGTTCGATTAATAATTCTAGTGTCCGGTTTTTGTGTGTATATGTTCAGTGTGTTCAGTATGTTCAATGGTTAGTGTGAATAATATTAAGAGAAGAGTTGTGGAGTGAGAGAAAGTTGGTTGTTTGTTTGTTTGTTTGTTTGGTGGCTATCCGGGTCCGTTTTTTTTCGTTTGGTTGTTGTTTGTTTTTGTTTATGTTTTCACCTCATCATCCAGATATTTTAAAACTTCAATCAAACTATCATCATTGGATTCTTGTTTTGTGGTTTCTTTCTTTCTCCACATTGATTGATTGATTGGTGGGCGAAAAAAATTGGAAAAAAAGTATGGTATCCCATTCATCATAATCATGTGAATAAAATGTTTGAAGAATGAAATGAAAAAATGAATGAATTTCTACGGTATCATCTTCATTATTCAAATGAAAATTTGTAGAAAAACAACAACAACAAGAATCCAAAAAATATATTCCAGAATCATCGATGAAACAAAAGGTAATAAAAAAAATAATAATTTCCGAAAAGTTTCTCGAAAAGTTTTTTTTTTCAAAAAACAAAATTCTAGTTGATTTTTATCATCATCATCATTATCAAGTTTTTTCTGTTTCGCCAGAGAAAATGAGAAACTAGAATCTAACCACCATCATCATCAGAAAAGATATGAACCTAATAATAAATACCGCATGTTGAAATAACAACAACAACAACAACAAATGTTTAGGTCAGCAGAAAATATATTCTTTAATGACAGAAAACAACGAAGAAAGAACCGATTTTTTCTTTAACGCCAAAAAAACCATCATCATCATCATCATCATTGTTTTCAGCAATTCTCACGAAAACACGAAAAAAATGATGATGATGATGATGATGTTTGAATTCTGTTCGAACCGAAGAAGAATCAAAAGAAGTAAAAAATATGAACAGAATTTATAACAAAAATTATTATTACTTTATTTTCAGGGATAAGAAAATTATCCAAAGCCATCGTTTGGTGATGATAAGAGTTTCTTTTCTCTGATTTTTTTTACTTATAATTTTAGTCTATGGGAATTAAATAAAGTAATTAAAACAAAAAAAGTTTGAAACAAATTGGATCGATCGGTGTTAATACCCAGAACGAGCTAAGTTAAGAAAAGCAAAAAAAAAGTGTTAAAGAATTTACATTTGAGCAAAACCATAAATCTTCGTAACAAAATTTATCGAATGAATGAACAGCAGCAGTAGTTTCTCAGCAAAAAAAAAACCTTTTTGAAAACTTTTTTTTTTGAAACTTAAGTTTTTTGAAGTAAAAAAAAACACTTTTTTTCGTCGATTCAGTTCAGGTATTAGAAAAAAAAACAAAAAAAAGTTTGTTTGTAAAAGAAAAAAATCCCATTTAAAAAAAAATCTGATAACGGTAATCCTGATGATAGATGAATTTGTTTCAAACGACAACGAACGAAAAGACAACCCAGCAAATAAAAGATTGTAGCAATTTTCTAGTTAGTTAAGCAAATCAGTATTAAACGATTGATTTTGTTTTTGATTGATTGATTATATCGATCTATTCTTAATGATATTCCTTTTCTTTTGTCTAATTTCTTATTGATTATATTGGGGCGTTTATGTTGATCTTTGTGTATATGTTATAGGTCGATATCGAATCAATTAATTTTCATTATTATTCAACACTATGTGAATATATGTAATGATTTGAATTCTTTTTATGCCCCTCTCTTTTCAATTTTCTTTTAACCAAACGCGAAACAAAAAAAATCATTTGATAATTAACTGGATGGTTAGCAAGAGAGAGAGAGAATCGATCCATCATTCACCAAAACAGGATTTTTGCCTGCAAGAATTGATTATTGACAATATATTTTATCCTGGGAAAAACGAAATTCTTTCTTTTTTCCCACCAAAAAAAAAAAAAAAAAAAAATAAATTGAAATTCAACACTGCTCATTACTACAGAGTGCCATTATCAATATTATCATTATTATTATTGGTCATTTTTTATTTAATGAATCGATAATCATCGTTTAATAGATTTTTTNTTGATAATTAACTGGATGGTTAGCAAGAGAGAGAGAGAGAGAGAGAGAGAGAGAGAGAGAGAGAGAGAATCGATCCATCATTCACCAAAGCAGGATTTTTGCCTGCAAAAGATTATTGACAATATAAATTTTATATCCAGAAAAGCGAAATTCTTTCTTTTTCCCACCAAAAAAATATAAATTGAAATTCAACACTGCATTACTGCAGAGGGCCATTAGCCATTAGCCATTATTATTATTGGTCATTTTTTATTTAATGAATCGATAATCATCGTTTAATAGATTTTTTTTTCGATTTCTCTAACCTCTTTTTTTCTCTTTTTCTGTTTTCATTCATAGGGTTGAATCGTTCAAACGATTAAATTGAAAATGAATTTCACCGATTTATGAAACAAAAATGGCCATTAATCAATCAATATAGATTAATATCAATCAAATCAAAACAAATTTTCGTTGAAAACGGTGCGCACATTCATTCATAATCTTCTTGTTTTGTTTTTCATTCTTACCACTGCCAAAAAATTAGCTACATTTTTCATCATCAAAATATTTTCATTTAATCTTTGATCATTGATGATAAACATCGACAAAAATAACCAGTTTTCTTTTTGATTGATTAATTCATGATTGATGTTGATGTTGATGAACAAGAAAACTGGAGATTGTAAAAGAAAACATTGAAATTGATATAAAAAGCGCCTGAACATAATGAAAAACGCGTTTCTTTTGATTAGTTTTTTACATTGACAAGTGTGTGTGTGTGGTGTATATTTTGTCTATTGGCTCAATAATTTGATGAAAATCTAATGCAACAAACCAAAACAGCAACAAAATGTAACAAACAATCAAAAAAGAGAGAAAACTTTCAACGTCAACGGACTGATCATTTGCACGGGAGATTTCGATACGGAAATAATCAAAACGTCAACAACGTAAACAACAAAATATCAGCAAAAATAAAGAATCCGTAAAAGTTGTTTTGTTTTGTTTTTTAATTTCAAATCAAAAATCGACATTTACCAAAATCGAAATCTTACAAGTGATAACATCCATTCTCAACTACGAAAATAGTCGAAAACATCTTTCGAATCGAATGTATATAAATAACATCATCATTTGACAGCATTTGTTTATTTGGTCATCACCATCATCATTATCGTTTTTTTCAATTTAAATCATCTTCAATTGAAGATTTTCCGGTTTTTTTTGTTTTTGTTGGAAATGTGCCGAAAAACTTGGTGTCCTAGTGGTCACCAATGTCCAGAAGTAAGTTTTTTTTCATTTTAAATCTTTAAAATTTAAAATTTTTAATTGAATTTTGTTCGTTAATGCGAACAACAACAACAACAACAGAAAAAACCAAACAATTCTGAAATTCTAATTCAATTAATTTTGTTGTTTAGTTAAATTCTAAATCATTTTTCTCATGTGTTTTCCCCAATATAATATGCTCGTTTAATTTAGTTTTTTATTGTTCCTGTTGTTGTTGCTGCTGCTGTGTTATTTGTTTGTTTTTTGCTTTTTTTTTTGTTTTGTTGATTCATCATTCACAAAAATGTATTCGAAAATGTAAAACACAGAAAAAAATATATTAAGTACGTATTATTCTGGAATTAATTCTTGAAAATTTTTCGACATAAATACATTCACCGTTTGATGATTAAAAAACTTTACAATTAAAGAAAGAAAAGAAAAGATTTTTAGAAAAGTTTTTTGTTTTTTGTTTTTTGTTTTTTAAATTAACGAAAGATTAAAGATCACCAGTGTCATTATTTTTTTAAAAGCAAAGAAAAGAGATTACAAAAAAAAATGTCATCACCATTATCAATAAATATTGGTTTAACAATATTATCATCAAGTTTAATAATAATGTTGATACATTGTACACATTCATATTGTATACAAAATCAACAATTTTATCGTATTTGTACCGATATTTTTAATCAACCTTGTTTTCAATTATTCGGATATATAAATTTATTTTTATTATCACAATTATTATTTGAATTATTAATATCCGTATTGTTTGGTGAATTACGTACAATTGAAATGGAACATTTACAAGAAAATCGTTGGCCATTATTTTTAGAATTAGCATCATCATTTGTTGTTTTTCAACCATTATTCAAATTAATTAATATTATACATTTTGGTTTTATTTTTTATTTTACAATATTTCATTTAATGTTAGAAAAACGTTTAGAACAAATTAATCAAAATGATGATCTTATACCGGATCATTTTCGTTTAATTTTAATACAAGCAATATCAATGTTTATAAATATTATACAAATATGGTATAATTATTATCATCGTTATATATTATCAAAAAGTAATCTATTATTAACATTATTATTTTTATATCGTTATATTTATACAACATGTTTATTAATACGTTGTATTTGTGATTATATTTTAAATAATATTGATCGTTTATATTATCAAAATGATTGGCAAGAAAAAATTCTATATCGATCATTAATACATATGATTACATGTGCTATTTGTGCATTTAGTCAAACAATCATTTGGATGATTATGTTATCAAGTGGTATACGTGCTATTAGTTTATTACGTTATGCAATAAGAAAATGGGATAAATTTTTAGATAGTTGTTATAATTTATTTCGTTCATATCGTACTATAAATCGTATGCAAACAATGTTTTCAATACCAACAATGATTGAAATTAATAATCAACAACCATGTCCAATTTGTTTGGAAACAATGTTGATTAGAGAATCGACAAGAAAAGCAATAAATTGTCGTCATATTTATCATCGTGATTGTCTGAGACGTTGGATTCATGTACGACAATTTTGTCCGGTTTGTCGTGAAGTACTTTGAAACACACACAATGATATTGATTGAACACACGAATGAAATGAAAAACTTATTCTTGAAAAACTTATACGTTGAACGAAAAAAAAAAAAAAATATCTAAATAAATTTAATAACAAAAAAAAAATGCAAATTTCCAAATATAATTTTTTTTTCCAAAACCAAAACACTTCATTTATTCGTTCAATCAATCAATCAATCGATTGATCGATCAATGATGAAAGCGAATTATTTCATTGGTGAATGAACGAGAGAAAAAAATTACAACAATAAAAAAAATAACCTTTGAGTAAAGTATTGTCAAATTAATGATGGTCGCAGCGACACTGATTGTTTTTTTTGTTTTGTTGTTTCATTATCCAAAATATATATGATTCATTTGATTCATAATGGACGATATTTATTCAGAACCTTCCTTCCTTGGAAATTATTCTAGAAAAAAAAATGTAGCTTATTTTCGTGAATTGGTCATTTGGCTACTTTAACTGTCTGTGTGTGTGCGTGGGTGTTTTGTTTTTCGCCAAAAAAAAATGTTTTGATCATTTTTTCAAATTTACTGCTGCTGATTATTCTGTTGTTTTCTTGTTTTCCACTTCGTAAAGCTTGTTAAATCTAGCAAAACAGAAACAAGAAAAAAAATATGTAAATATATTTTCGGTCCATATCTTTTCAAATGTGATTTTTTTTCAAGCTAATAACGTTTCGGTTGGTTCACAGAACCATTCATTTGGACAAAGAACATAAAAAAATTTACCTTGTTTTTTTTCATTTTAGGTAAATTTAATGTTTTGGATTCATTCATTCATTTCAGTTATTCACCTGTAATTTGAATCAGTATTGTCTTTTGAATGTTAATAAGCATGTTGTTGTTTTTGGATTAACTTTTGTTGTTGTTGTTGTTGAATACGACATTCTTCAAACGAATGTTAATCTAATCTAATTAGAAAGAATCATCATCATCATCATCATCAACGATAATGATATGCATAGCATTCAACAAAAACAAAAACAAAACAAAAAAAAAGTTATTCATCGTTGATTATGTAAAAAACACAGCAAAATTCAGAAAAAAAAGTTTCCAACAATTTCGACTATGATGGATGATTCAACCAGCAAAAAAAATTTCCATTTTTCCTTTCGTTCCACAGTAATGGAACCAACACCAACAACAACGAAAAAAAACATCAAAGGTATCCCCATGTCTTTCGTTGATAATGAAAAGCAAAACAAAAAAATTCATAAAGGTATAACAGCAGCCGAAAAAGCAGAAAATTCTTGTAATTTTTCTTCTTTTTTATTATGATAATAATCATTACATTACATAATCATCATCATTATCATCATCCGTATTTTTTTAAAAAAAAAACCTGCATGAATAATGATGATGGGTAATAATTTAGCCTTGATTCTGGCTTGATATTCTTCCTATTCAGAATATCTATCTATTGAGAAAACCGTGTGTGTGTATGTATGGTTGGTTAGTTAGTGTCTTCAGACATTCTATTTCTACATAGGTTATGATGATGATGATGAGTAAGAATTTGGAACAAACAACAAAAAAAAATTCTTGATTCTATTTTTGGATCTCTCTCTCTCTCTCTCTCTCTCTCTCTCTCTCTCTCTCTCTCTCTCNAAAAAAAATATGTAAATATATTTTCGGTCCATATCTTTTCAAATGTGATTTTTTTTCAAGCTAATAACGTTTCGGTTGGTTCACAGAACCATTCATTTGGACAAAGAACATAAAAAAATTTACCTTGTTTTTTTTCATTTTAGGTAAATTTAATGTTTTGGATTCATTCATTCATTTCAGTTATTCACCTGTAATTTGAATCAGTATTGTCGTTTGAATGTTAATAAGCATGTTGTTGTTGTTGTTGTTTGGATCAACTTTTTGTTGTTGTTGTTGTTGAATACAACATTCTTCAAACGAATGTTAATCTAATCTAATTAGAAAGAATCATCATCATCAAAGATAATGATATGCATAGCATTCAACAAAAACAAAAAAGTTATTCATCGTTGATCATATTTATGTAAAAAAAAATTCAAAACAAAAAAAAAGTTTCCAACAATTTCGACTATGATGGATGATTCAACCAACAAAAAAAATTTCCATTTTTCCGTTCGTTCGTTCCATAGTAATGGAACCAAAAACAACGAAAAAAAAAACATCAAAGGTATCCTCATGTCTTGATGATAATGAAAAACAAAACAAAAAAAATTCATAAAGGTAAAACAGAAGCAGCAGCCGAAAAACAAAAACAGAAAAAAAAAATTCTTGTAATTTTTCTTCTTTTTATGATAATAATCATTACATTATGATAATCATCATCATTATCATCATCATTCGAATGAAAAAAATCTACATGAATAATGATGGGTAATGAGGTTTAGTAGCCTTGATTCTGGCTTGATTTTTGTTTTCCTTTCCTATTTAGAATATCCATCTATTTAAAAAAAACAAAACAAAAACCGTGTGTGTATGTATGGTTGGTTAGTGTCTTCAGACATTCTATTTCTACATAGGTTGATGATGATGATGAGTAAGAATTTGGAACAAGCAAAAAAAAATTCTTGATTCTATTTTTGGATCTCTCTCTCTCTCTTTCTCTCTAACAGAATATAACTATTTCAGTTTCTTTTCATTCATTCATTCATTCCTTTGCAGAATTCATTCTATAGAATCGGAAAAGAAAAGAAACGTCATGTAACGTCATCATAACATACATAGATAGTTATACCATATGTATGTTGTTGACCTAGAAACCGTTTTGGTTTTTATCGTTTTTCGTTTGGTTAAAAAAAAATTTTTTTTCAATTGGAAAACGCATATAATGTATGTGTGTACTATGGGTTTTATTGGGAAAACATGATTCGCTCTATAGCAACACTGATATTCTATTTATATAACAAAAAACAGAAACAGAAAAAAAAGGATGCTATTAATATAAACTTGCCCTTGTTGTTGTTGTTATTGTTGTTTCAGTTGACCCGACGACATAGTTGGATGTGTGCAGTTAAAAAACAAAACAAAAGACAAACGAAGCAAAAATTGAATCAACCAAAATTCTTCAAGGAATCCAATGCGAAAAGAGACGAAAAGAAAAACAAGAAAAACGAAAAAACCTTGAATGAAAGTCGGTAGAGAATTGAAATAGACCATAATTTTCTTTTGACGTCATCATTATTATGTGTCTAGGTTTTATTGAGAAAAAGTAAAGTAAAAGAAAAATCAGAAATCTAAGAATCCTGGTTATCCTGACTATATGGAAAATGAGGAATTTCCCCGGGAAAAAAAACCCGGGTTCAACATTACGTCATCGCATCAAAATGATGTGACTGATGACTGGCGATTTTGTTGTTGTTGTTTTGATAGTATCAATTTTCATTAACAATTTTTTTCATTTCGTTTCATTTTTTTTTCATTTTCGACCAATAACCGAACTGAAAAAACGATATAAAATATAGGGTCTAACATGTATGTTGGTGTTTGCAATATTTTCAGCCGTACTTGGTATGTTTCAATTTGGTTACAATACCGGTGTAATAAATGCACCACAAAAGGTTTGTTAAAAAATGGATTCGTGTTTTTTTTTAATGATGATCATGATGATTTGTGAGGATTTCAACCAACCAAACAACCAAACAAAGAAGAAAAAACCAGAAATTGATAATAATCATGATGAATGGCCTTAAGGGTCTTTGGATTCGGTTTTTTTGATTCTGGTTGTTTGTTTGGTGAAAATCATCATGGAATGATGATTATGAATAGAATTTTTAATATATTTTTTTCTCGTTTTTTCTTCTCTGGTTATTCGGTTTGACAATTTGTAAAATTATTCGGTAAACATGGTGTGTTCCCGCTATCACTATCATCACCGATAGATATTAGAAAATTTTATTGCCGAAGTATATAAATCAAGAACAGGAAAATATATGTCTGAAGATATGTTAACATTAGTTTGGTCTATAACTGTTTCAATATTTGCTGTTGGTGGTATGATTGGTGGTTTATCTGGTGGTGTTATTGCTGATTATTGTGGAAGGTAAAACTAATTTGTAAAAAAAAAATTTCAATGCAAATTTTCGATAATGAAAATATTACATTTTTCAAATTTAGAAAATGTGGTCTATTATTTAATAATGCAATTGCAATATTAGGTGCTACATTAATGAGTTCATCACATTTATTTCGTTCAATTGAATGTTTAATAATTGGTCGATTTTTTATTGGTTTAAGTTGTGGATTAAATACTGCACTTGTGCCTATGTAAGTATAAATGTAAACAAAAAAAAATTTCAATTTTTGTTTGTTTGAAAAAAAGCTTTAAAAAATCCTTTTCTCTATGTGTGTGTGTGTAGGTATCTTTCGGAAATAGCACCAATGACATTAAGAGGAGCACTTGGTAAGTTTTTTGTTTTATTGTTTGATGGACATTCTCTCATATGATAAGGTAGAAAAAAACATTGAGAGATCGATCATTCATCAATAGAGAAGAAGAAATGGAGCATTCTTCTATTGTTGTTTGATGATTGATGAATAATTCAAAAGATGCTGCTGTTGTTGATGTTGAATGCTTTCAACTTAATGGCTTCTTTTTTTTTGTTGTCCAAAACAAAATTTCTAATTTTCTCTGAGTTTTTTTTTAATATATTCCATTTCCATTATCATAACTACCTGTCTATACTGGGGATAACCAAAAACCAAAAAAAAAATGAAAAAAAAATAGGAACGGTCAATCAATTGGGTGTAACTATTGGACTATTATTATCACAAATATTAGGTTTATCGCAGATATTAGGTACTGAAGATGGATGGCCATTTTTATTAGGTGTAGCATTCATTCCAGCTGTTTTACAATTAATATTATTACCACAATGTCCTGAATCGCCAAGATATTTATTAATATCAAAAGGACGTTTAACTGAAGCTACTTATGGTATTTTTGTTTGAATGATCTTTATTCTTTTAAAGAAAATTAAAATATTTTGTTTTGTTTGTTTCAAATCAAAAGCACTACAACGATTACGATGTACAACCAATGTTGAAGATGATATTGAAGAAATGCGTATCGAAGATCGTGCACAACAACAAGAAGCAAAGGTTTGAATTTTGATCATGATCAATTATCGATTATCGATTTTTTAATTTACTCTTTTTTTTTTAAAAAATTTCTCAGATAACAATGTGTCAATTAATAAAAAATCGTTCATTACAAACACCATTAATTATTGGAACTGTGATGCAATTATCTCAACAATTATCCGGTATAAATGCTATATTTTATTATTCAACAAATATATTTACAATTGCTGGACTTGGTGATGATTTGGCAAAATATTCAACAATTGGTGTTGGTGTTGTAATGGTTTTAATGTCATTAGTATCAATGATGTTGATGGATCGTACTGGTCGTCGTACATTACATTTATATGGACTTGGTGGAATGTTTATAACAAGCATGTTTTTGACAATATTTTTATTATTTGGTGTAAGTTTTTTCGATTCAAAAAACAAAAAACAAAGAAAAAAATGTTAATTTTCATTTCATTTCATTTTTTCCATTAGTTTCTATATACATGGATGTCTTATATGAGTGTTATGAGTACATTAATCTATGTTGTATTTTTTGCCATTGGACCGGGTAATTTATACAATTATTATTTTGAAATTACAAAACAAAAAAAATTATAATTTTTAATTTTTCTGTCATTCAGGATCAATTCCATGGATGATAACTGCCGAGCTTTTTTCACAAGGACCAAGACCAGCTGCTATTAGTATTGCAGCATCAGTAAATTGGTTTACAAATTTTGCTGTTGGTTTAGCATTTCCAATTATGATACAATTTAAAGATGTAAGTTTTCATAATGATGATGAAATTTGTCACCAAAAAAATGTTAATTTTTTTTCGTTCTGTTTCAAAAAACAAAAAAAAATTTAAAATTCAAATCAAAAATCAAACAAACGCAGAAAGCAATGGATAAATATGCATTTTTACCATTTACCGGTTTTTTAGCCATTTTTTGGATATTTACATATTTTAAAGTGCCCGAAACAAAAAATCGTACATTTGAAGAAATATCTGCATTGTTTCGTAAAGATGGTTCAGATAATTTAATACCAATCGAAGATGTCGTTGGTGGTTCTGGTGGTGCTCTTGGTGGATCACAACAATTTATTCATAATGGTGGTGGTGGTAATCAAACGCCAACATCTGGTGGCCAACAGCAAACTGGTCTTGGATCACATAATTCTAGTTCTGGTGATATTTATTCACATAAATCAAGCAGTGGTGATATTATATTTGCTGATGAAAGAACATTGGAAAAATGTAAGAATGATATGGATATTCAAAAACAACAAAAACAGCTCGAAAAATCTAGTCAACAACCGAATAACCAGTATCCTGATTATAAAACTATTTCGACATGATAAAGCACATGACATAACCCTTTGGTTTCTTATATGCATGATAATTAACTGAATGTCAATTTTTTTTGGTTTTTTTTGTTTGTTTTGATTTTTTTTTTAAATTTCTTTAAATTATTCAGTAAAATAAACCCAAAATATTATTATTTTTTTAAAAAATTATAAATTTATAGAGAATTATGCATGAATTTTTTGGTTTGTAAAAGTTGTTTTTTTAAAATGAAACAATTGAATTTACAATTGTAATTTATAATCGATTATTATTATTCTTTTTGATTAGGTTATCTACATCATCATCATTATCATCATTTTCATTATAATGATAATGATGATGATAATTGTTTGCCAACAACTGGTGGTGGCGGTAGTCAACCACAAACACCATTAACACCTGGTCCAACATTACATCATACACCAACAACTGGTAGTATAGGTAGAATACCAATGTTATGTCCATCAACACCAATTATACAGATACCAATTGTGCCAGTAACACATCCGGAACCATTATCACCACCACCACCACCATTAACAGTTGCATTACCACCACCATTAACACCATCATTGTCGCATCAACAAAATCAACAATCAAAAGATGCTTATCATCATTTTATTTTACCGCCACCTAAAAAAACAATATCTCAACAACAACAACAACAATCGACAACAACACCGACTAATCATCATCATCATCATCATCAACAACAACAAACGCAACAACAATCTTCATTTATTGATCTTCATCAACAACAATTACCATCACAGCCAACAATGCCACAATTAGTGCCATTATCATCAAATGTTCCAATTTCAAATAATCATCAACAACAACAAGTTGTTAACCATCAATATCATCATCAAACATCATCATTAACACCACCATCATTAACACCACCATCATCATCGACGACATTATGTTCATCAACGACACCTTTTATATTTCCACCGCCAAATTTAACCACTGGACAGCCATTAGGGTCATTATCATCAACTTTAACACGTAAAAAACATTTAACAACAATGGTTACTCATCAACAGCCACCACCATTACCGCCACCGCATGCTCATCATCATCATCATCAACATTTTCAACAACAACCACCGCAAACGCAATTACAATCGGCCGCAGTGATGAATGATATATTCAGTGGTGGTAGTTTTATTGTTAACAGTGGTGATGGAGGAGGTTTTTCCGTTTCAACACCAAATCATCATCGAATCATTATTGAAGATCAATTATGAAAATAATAAATTAGATTCTGATTCTAAAACTGTGATTTAACCCTTTGACAACCTACACAAACTTTCCTAATAAAAATCAATTGGAAAATATTAATCCTTTTTACACAGACAGACAAGATTGCCAAATCCAAATTTTCTATCCAAAAAAATATATTGTAAATAGCCAAACAAACATTACGCTCATTTAACGCACCAAACAAAAAAAAATGAAAAAATTGAAAAAATTGAACAACCCAAACAGCGCACACACATATTTACCCAATTTCAAAAAAAAAACTTGGAAAAAAAGATTTTGTCATCAATGATCATTGTCAAAGAAAATAATGCTCAATTTTCTCAAACAAAAAAAAAATGTCACATATAATCCTATGGCCAAAAAAAAAACACTGAAACAAACCCAGACATCCTCCAAAAAAAAATTTCCTATTTCCTATAGTTACTATATTTACCGAACAGAATATCCGACCCGAAAAAAATATCTGATGATGATGATGAAATTGACGGAAATCGACATACATTATTATTCAAAAGAAACGACGAGAAAACTGCAAAAACCTGAATAAATTACAAATGATGAACTTTTCAAAAAGAAATAACACCACCAATAAAACAATAACAACATCCGAAACCGGGGAAAAACATCGGATCTGATGACCCTATGCTTGTTTGATATATGTTCTTCATTTCGAAAACTAATAATAATGGATAATACTTTTACATTTTATTTATTTATTTGCAGAAAAAAAAGAAAGAAAATGAAAATGAAAATGAAAAAAATTGAAATGAAAAAAAATCTATCCATCACATCATCATCATATAATAATAATTATAAAATAAAAATAAATTTAAAATAATTAAATTTCAAAAATGAAATTAGTTGTTTGTAATTAATTTTTTTTTGTAACGATGGTAACAAAATCGAATCAATCAATCAATCAAGAATCATAATCATCATCATTATTATTATTATTATTATTAAAAAATTTATAAGCAAATAGAATAATAAGAAAAAGAAAAAAAAAGGAAATCATCATCATTATAATCATCCAAGTAATAATGGTAGCAGTTAATCATCATCAACATTTTGTTGTTTGGTTTCTTTTTGTTTTAGTGTAATGTTGAAGAAAAGAAAAGAAAAGAAGAAAAAATCACATCCAGATTTAAATATATATGAAAAAACAATAGCAGCAGCAGCTTGTTTGTAAGTTTCGTGTGTTGGTTTGTGTGTGTGTGTGTGTGAATCAATTTTCAAAGAATCAATATTATTCACAAATCTATTATACACAGGTTATCATATCATATCATATCATATCATACACACACAAATACAAATATAATAAACATCACGAAAAGAATTCATCTTTTGTTGAAATGCTTGAATGTCAAAGTGCAAGTATGTATGTATGTGTGTGTGTGTGTAAGTAAGGTTATACATTCATTTGTATATATCTTTTGTTTTGTAACCATGAATAGATATCATGAGATCTATTTGATAAATTCAATCTTTTACGGTAGCAGTTGCTGTTGTTGTTGTTGTTGTTTGACCACCACCAGTAGTAGATCCAGATCCAGTATAATCGGTAGTCGATTGTTGAACATTATTATTATTATTGATATTAGTACCCGGTGATGGTGTAGTACTATTTCGATTTTGATATTGTCTAGATTTTCCCATACCTCCTGATTGATTATTATTATATGATGATTTGTTTGAACCATTTCGATTGTTTGATGATTGATTCATCATACCACCAACTTTATTTGATTGTTGAGCATTGTTTGGTCGTTGAATAGGATTCGGTTGATAATTATTACCAATAGCATTAGCAACAATCGTATTGTTTGCAAAAGATGTAGCATTCAATGGACTTGTACGTGAATTCATTTGATGTTGTTGTTGAATATGATGAGCACCAGCATGATGAGCAGCAGCCGCTAAAGCATTGTTCATCATTAAATGCATTGGAAATTGTTGTTGTGCTTGTGGTTGCGATCGTCCATTCGCTTGATGTTGCATTTTGCTTTGATGATTAAAAAATGCCAATTGTTGATTGGCTGCCGCTGCTGCATTCCAATTGGCAGCAGCTTGTTGTACATTCATTGCCTGTGATGTTTGTGGTGCAGAATTCGGTTGTGGTCCAGCAAAAAATTGATGTGAATTTCGATGATTCTGATGACCAACTACATTATGCTGTTGATTAGCTACCATACCAGTCGCTCTATTGGCTTGACCATCATTAACAAATTGATTGGAAGCGGCAGCCATTTGATGATGATGCATTTGATCAGTTGTTTGTGCCATATTAAACGAACGAACCACATTAGGATCAACGCGTTGCATATTACCTGCTGTTTGACGATTATTATGATAAGAATTTTGTGAAAGTTGTGTTTGCGAACCATTTGCGGGAATAATTGCACTGGCAGCAGCAGCAGCCGCAGCAGCAGTATTCATATTTAATGGAGCAGGAACAAATCCACTCAATGCATTTGCAGCTGGATTAGCAGCGGCTGCAGCTAATTGTGTAAAAAAATGTTGTTGATTAGCTTGTTGTAATTGTTGACCAGTTGTTGGCCATCCTCCAGCTGTTTGCTGTAAATTATGATGATTAGCTTGTTGATGATGTGGATGATGAGAAACAAATGCTGTTGCCGGTTTCATCATTGCATGATTCTGTGCGGTCATTGCAACAGCATTAGGATTTGCTGCAGCCAAAGCATATTTATTGAATTGATGATCGTTGGTGTTTGCTGGTCCTAATGCTTGCGGTTGTGCCGCATTCAATTGTGTCAAAAATAGATTCGCTGCAGGATGATTCGATGCTGCATTACTACTAGCCTGCATCATAGCCAATGCCATTTGATTGAATTGTGTTTGTTGAGCTACCGCAGCAACAACATTCGGTTGTTGATGCATAGCGAATGCCGGAAGATGTGGAAAGGTCACTTGAGCACCATGTGAATGACTTAATCCTGCCGAAGATTGAGCTGCTGCATTTGTTGCTGCATTAGTAGCTTGATTAACAGCAAAATTTGATTGATCATGATGAGATAATTGACCAGTGGCAGCATTATATTGATGAAATGCAGCAGCTAATGCAGCTGGATTTTGTTGTGAATTTACAGCAGCAGCTAATGGATTCTGATAGATCTGATGAGATATTGATGGTGGACTAGTTGGTGTTTGCAACATATTATTATTATGATGATGTTGTTGTTGTTGTTGTTGAAAACCACTATATGTCGATGTTGAAACAATAACCGGTGGTGATGTAGCATTAATTATTTGTGTATTATTTCCACTAGCGGTAAATATATTTGGATTTGATTGTTTTTTAATATTAGATAAATTGTTTCCATTGTTTATTTTTTGTTGTTGTTGTTGTTGATTTTTATCCGTTGGACTAGTTGCTGTTGTCGATAACAACGAATTTTTTCTTTCACCAGAATTTTGTTGGGAATTATTATTATTATTATTATTTATCGTTGTTTCATTCGGTGCTGTATCCCATACTTTTTTAACCGAAGCAATTTTCATATTTAATTCTTCATTGATTGAAGATGTTGTCGTTGATGGTGTATTATTCACCATATAGTTTTTCGATGTTGTTGTTAATGATGATTGTGAAACTGGTGCCGAATTAACATTGCTGCTGTTCGCAACTGTGGATGGTGTTGTAATAACTTCATCAATCTATATTTCACAGAAAAAAAATTGAAAAAAAATTTGTCAGTCAAAAATCCAATGGTAAATTATTATTTAAAAAAATTAAGCAACCTTTGAAAGAACTTTATTCTCTTCTTTTAATTTAGTATTTTCGTAGATTAATGTTCCGACAATTTTACGATTAGTGATTATCATGTTAGTAGAACTTGTATCCTTTTAAAGCAAATATAACGGTAGTATGCGAATCGACATAAAGCAAACATCAAAACACACAGAAGAAAAAAAAAGACAATAGACACATAAAAATTAGAAAGTTAATTCTGATATTATAAAAAAAAAACAAAGCTCATCTCAAAACAAAAAGTTGTCAACAACAAAACTTATTCTGAAATAACTTACCATATCAGGAATTCTAGTTATCTGGAGTGGTGTTTCCGATTTTTTGACCAAAGATTCTTTCGATGATTTATCATCATTCGAGACTAATGATGATAAATCATTTGGCTGATCTTTTGATTGATCAAAATTTGTTGTCGATGTTGATGATGAACTATTGCTACGTTGTACTGTTGTAGTTTTATTTTCAATAGAATCACATTTTTGATTTGTTATTATCTGAGATGATGAATCTTGTTGTTGTTTTTTATTTATCGTTGATTGTGTTGATTGAATTTGATCTTGTGATCTTTGACCAGTATTACCACTATTTTTTATTTGTGGTTGTTGTTGTTGTTGATTCTGGCTGCTTTTATTATTATTATTTGGTTTGGAAATTCGCTGCTGAATCAAAAAAAAGAAGGGGAAAAAAGGGTTAAATTCTTGTTTTTAGATAATTACAGAAAATTCATTATTTTGAACTAATCAGTAAACTTGGTTTTCAAATCATTAATCAGTTTTCATAGGATTGACAGATTATTCAAGCATTTCATCACATTCATTTAAAAAGTTTAAAATCTTAATCTTTTTTTTTGTTTAACTTACATCATTTTTTCGTCTTGATCTTGAATGTTGATCATTTTGTTGAATCATTTTTTTATTTGCCATTTGTTGTTGTTGTTGTTCGGATTCAGTATACGTCTGTTGTTGTTGTTGTTGTTGATTATTTATCACAGTCGTAGAAGAATCACCCATAGTATTCGAACCATGATGTCGACCAGAATTTTGTACAGCTGTACCACCACCACCAAAAGAATTTTTGCGATTACGTTCAGATGATTTTGTATCTTCCGTCGTATCATGTGAATCGGACAATGCCATTTTTGACATGGCAACATTTACATGTTGTTCTTGTTGATGTCGTTGATTACCATGATAATTTGAATTCGATGTCATCGATAATGAATTTTGATTCGAAGATCGTTTTGAAGATGAATTGCCCAATATTGTATTATTATTATTTCCACTTCCAGTACGATATCCACTTGTAGATGAGCTTCCACCACCACCACCTCTTGATGTATGACGAGAAGAACCTCCGCTACCAGAATTACGAGCATTATACGAATGTGTTATTGTCGATGATGATGATGAGCCTGGATGATGTCTAGATGATGAAGATGAATGTTGTTGTTGTTGTTGATGATACATTGAATCATTTCCACGATTTGAAGAAGATCGTTCAACTCTTTCATGTCGTCCACTATTTCTATAATTTCCATGATGATCCTGTTGTTGTTGTTGATGATGTAATGATGATGATGATGGCTGTTGATGTGTTGATTTGTTGGACGAATAAACATTTCGATCATTACCATGTTTAGATGTTGTTGCGGTTACTGTTGAAGATGATGTTGTATTCGAAACACTTGTTTGTTGTTGAGATGATTTTTCAACATTCATTTTATTACGATTTTCCTGAACTGATGATGATGATACAACATCAGCAGAATTTCTTTCCATCAAATCACTTGATTCAGAAGCAGTTTCCCATTCATCTTGAATAAAATCTTCTGATTCTTGTCGATTGGCAGCAGCAGCATTAGATGAATTTGTCGAAGTTGTTGATTGTTGTCTAGCTGGTTGAGCTGAATTTGTATTTGTATTAGAAGAGGCACCAGGACTTTTGGATGATGGTGGTGAAACTATTGATTTATTTGAAACGACGATACTACTCGGACCACTGACCGTAGAACCATGTTGAGTAGTACTACGTTGCGGTTTTGACGAATGTTGTTGAACATTTCGTGAACCATATCGAGATGAAGAACTACCAGCACCAGACGAAGATCGATTATTACTAACACGTTGCTGTTGCTGTGAATGATGATCATTTCGTTCATCACGACGATTCGATGTTACATGATGTGATTTGTTGACAGGATTACCACTATTGGAACTATTATGTTTAATCGATTGATGCTGTTGTTGGCTAGTTGTTATGACTGGATTTAATCCGCTGTTATTTCGTTTTTCAACATTCGAAACATTCAAAGTATTCTGGACGGGAGGTGTTGAAGATTTTGTTGGTTGTGGCTGTATCATAGCTTGATCACCGAAAACTTTGGCAGTAGGCGGTGGACCATAAGTCGAAATTGCTCGTATGTTTGTAGTAAGACCGACAACTTGAGGGCCTGAAGGCAATGTTGATGTCGAAGTCGAAACGGCAACGTTGTTGCTCGCTGTTGCATTTATTGTTGTTGTTGGTAAAGGTGGAGATGAAGATGATGACATGGAAGTAACAACGGTTGGTGGTGTCGGTGCTGGTGTATTTGTTGCCGACGTAGAATTCGAACTCATTGAATCATGTCTTGATCGATTATTTGATGATGATTCATAATTCTGTTGTTGTTGTTGCTGTTGTGATGATGAATGTTCAATATTATGTGATGAATCTACAACATTCGATTTATAGGGCAATTGTTGTGATTGATGATGATGATGATGATGATAATTCGATGAACGTTGATAATTGTTGTTGTTGCTGCTGTTTGCATAGTTATCACGACGTTGAATTTGATTCAAAGAAGAATTGGCCGATGTTGTTGAGGATGGAGGAGTATAACGTTCCGTAGAATTATTGGAATATTTTCGTTGTTGTTGTTGTTGTTGTCGATTATCAATCGAATGATCAATATATCGACCATCATCTCGTCTACGTGAATCAGCATATGAACCTCTTGAATTATTGTTTCGATAATGTTGCTGTTGTTGTTGGTTAGTGTAATGACCACTATCATTATCTTCTTTATAATTTTTTTGGCTTGTCGACATAGTTGGTTTTTGATTCGTCGACAAAGATGTTTGTTTTTGCTGCTGTTGTTGGGAGTTGACTTCTTTTTCAACATTTTGATTCGATTCGGAATCTATTTTTGCTAAAGATTCAACTACCGGTTTATCTGTTGCAGTTGTTTGTTCATTATTGCCGCTATCTTCATTTAATGCTTCTTTTTCAACAGTTGAAATTGTCGAAACAGATGTTTCAACAACTTCAATTTCAGATGATGTTGGTGGTTGTTGTGCGGCGGAAGAAGGCTTTGATTCATTAGAATCTTCCATTGTTTTACTTGTAGAAAGCGAATCTTTTGTGGAAGATTCTTTCGACTGTTCCGATTGTTGTTGATCACTTTGTGTTGTAGATTGCGGCGGAGGTGAACATTTAGCTGTTGCTGAATTTGTAGATGATGATGATGATGAAGATACATCTGAAGAATCTTTTCGATTAGATGATGATTGTTGAGTGGGTAATGTTTCACGATTATTATCAATCGGTTTTGTTGTATTACGCCAACTAGTTGGTTCATTTTTTTGTGTAACATATCGACCAGATTGTCGACTATTACCATCATTATAGTTATTATTATCCGGTGGTGTTCGACGATGATGTGAATCACGTTGTTGGCCACCTCCTCTTTGATCATAAATTGATTGTGATGAAGAAGGATAATCACGATACGAATTACGCTGTTGATCTAATAATGCTTGACCACCGTTAATATTTTGATCACCTTGTTGTTGTTGTTGATGATGCTGTGATGAAGGTGATCTTGTTCTGGAACCAGAATTTTTCTGATACATATTCTGTTCAATTTGTTTCTGTAAACGTGGTGGTAAATTTGGAGGTGGATATATCAAGGATTTGTTTCCCGACGTTGGATATCCACCACCACCACTATTAGGTGGACCACTCAATCGATCATTACGATAATCACGTCCTGAATCACGTCGATCACGATTCGATTGAGATGAAGGCGGCGGTGGTGGCATCATCATTTCATCATGATCAGCATCACGTGATTGACGTCCACGAAGAACAGCATTGCTAACTTCATCTTTCAAACGTGGTTTAGGTCGCCAATTTTCTTCTTCAGAACTAACTCGATTCATTTGTGCACTAGCAATAACATGATCACCACCACCACCAGCACGTCCATTTTCTCTTAAATTTCGAGATGGTTGCATCTGTAATTGTGGTTGTGCTAATGGTGGATATTGTTGTTGTTGCTGTTGATTATATCCGCCACCACCTCTAGGCAATTGCTGTGATCTAGATGAAGCATGATATTCACCACGTCGTTTATCATATGGCTAGATTATGATTGAAAATTCAAATTTTTTAGAAATCTTTAAAAAATGATATAAATCTACAAGAATACCTCATTCAAATTATCTTTACGATTGATTGTTTCATAAAGAGGATCCGATTTTCTTCCATAATATCTATTGGCCTCTTGTGATGGCATATTTGATGGTGGTGGTGGTATTGAACGTGGATCAATTTGTCCACGCGATGGTGCAGGATACATTGGATTGGATGTAGATGATTCACGTTGTTGAGATGGATAATAGGCAGGTGGTTGACGATTATTATCATTTTGTGATTGATGATCTCTTATTGATGATGATGATGAAATTGATTTTGTAGAAGATTCCATTGATTTTGGATGAGAATCATCTCTTTCTAATTGTTTATTATTACTTTCTTCATTATCATCATCATCAGTAGATTCATCACCATCACTAAAATGAATCTTGGCACCATAATCAATTTCTTTTTCATCCGCCCAATCACAATCCAAATCAGTTTTCAATATTTTATCCAACGATTTTAGCTCTTTATCATCAATTATGGCTGGTTTTTCGAGAGCAAATTTTCTATGACAAAAAATCAAAACAAAACAAAAATTAGAAAAAGGCAAAAAAACTTTTTTTCAAGATGTTTTTTCTCAACACAACAATCATAAACAGTGGGTAGTGAAAGTGTTGTCAACACAAAATTTTTCATGTCAAAATTTGTTTTTAATCATTTCATTTCATTTGATCCGAATAAAATTAATTTTCATCAACGATCCACTTACCGTTCGGATTTATTATGACTTTTTCGGCTGTTGCCACTACTACCACCGGTAGGTCCATAATTTTGATTTGTAGACGAAGATGAATATCCCTATATCCAGTTCAAAATATCAATGTTAATGTTATACAATGTTCAAAAGTGTGTTGGACTTACATCGCCACGACGATTAATATTGCGATTTGATGATTGCTGTGGATTAGAAGAATCAGAACTGTTTTTCGACGACATAATCAAGGGAAAATCATTTGATGTAGGAAGATGATAAAGTAAATCATTATTTGCAGCACCAGTTTGTGATGATGGCAAATTTGATGCAGATGATGAATGATGAAGATTTTTGTTACTAGAATGATTATGACGGTATGAAAGATGATAGTCGGCTGAATGATCACGAACGGTATGAAAACCACCACCACCACCCCCACTACCGCTTTGACTCGGATCGTTATCTTTTTCGCCACCTCCATCTTGCTGTACATTGGCTGGACCCTTTTGTTGTAATGGAGGTGTTTGACGATGCTGTTTTTGTTGTTGTTGTTCTGTTACTAATGATTCTCGTCGACTTCCTCCTCCGGCGACACCAGACATATTCGATTCTTTGGCAATCGATACAGATTTGTCTCGTCCTACTATGTCGCCACCAGCATTCGATATTGGAGGAAATTCTTCTTGAAATTGTTTCTGATATTGCTGTTGTTGGTATGAGGCATGAGCATGATTTTGCGTCGATTGAGGCAAAATTGGACTGTACAAATCTTTTGGTGGTAATTGTGAATGATGCTGCTGTTGTTGTTGATGTGAAGAAGAAAGATTTTGAGATTGAGGATGATGATGATGATGATTCACAACAGATTGTATTATCGAACATTTTGATTGATTTTGTTGTTGTTGTTGTTGACCGATCGTATCTTTTTGACTTATACAACCACCGTTTTCTCCACCTTTCAATGATGGTGTCGTTGATGATGAACTATTCAAAAAAAATTAGATTAGATTAGATTACAATTGATCAAACAATTGTACCAAACAATAAATACAAACCTTTCTTCTTCTTTATCGTTCGACCAACCTTGACCTAATCCTGTTCCTGTTGTTAAATTTTGTTCAATATTATCGTTGTTATGATTATGATTTTCAACAATATTATTATTATTATTATTATTATTATTTAAACAATTATGATTATTATCTGTATTGTCCAAAGTGTTGTTGTTGCTGTTGCTACTATCATTACTATTATTTGTTGTTGAAGAAATTTGAAATTGTTGATTATCGTCTGTTGTTGTTGTGGAATTTAATCCGCTAGTTGTTGTTGTTGTTGTTGATGATGATGTAACATTGGCAGGTGGAGGTACACGACGTCCAACCAAAACTTTTCCCACTGTTTGTAATCCATGTTTTGGTACAATAACTGAAAACAAACAAACCAAATTCATTATTTCAAATCAAATTTCAGGTTTTTTTAACAAAAAAAAACATACCAGAAGTTTTTGGATTTTCCAATGATTTTCCTTTAAAAATTTGATTAATATCAAATGGATTATATTTGGTTTTTGATTTTGAACTAGCCGATGACGTTGTTGTTGTTGTTGATGATATCTGATTACCACTTGTATTATTATTATTATTGGACGACTGTTGCTGCGTATTCAATGATGATGATGGTGTTGTTGTTGTTGTCGCTGCTGCTGTTGTTGTTGTTGTTGAAGATAATGTTGACACTGTAGACATGATTCATTTGAACAAAAACACTGATTCATATCAAATTTTTTTTTTCAAGAATGATAAAGATTCGGTTCTTTTTTTTCCTTTTGCACAGAAAAAAGTTTCAAATTTTAGCCGAAACACTTCGGCTTTTTTTCTACAGAAGTTGAATTCGTTCGATTCGGACTATATGCCAAAAGATGATAATAAACAACGAAGATTAAACAACACAGAAATAAACAAACAAACAACCAATGCACACACACACAAAAACAATCACAAAATGATAGAAAGTTGTTGTTGTTGTTGTGGTTCCAACAATCGATAGTTTCTATCGAAATCATCGCCAAGAAAACAAACAAAAAGATAAAATGGTCAAAATTTTAAACTAAAAAACAACAAGAACAAACCTCGATTTTGTAAAAAAGGAAAGTTTTTTTCCCCTTCAAATAGGAAATTAGTGTATAAAATATTGTGTAAAAACCAAATCTTGCTTTATAGATTTGCTGAATTTTCTAATTTGAGAAAAGAATGAAAAAAAATATCACACTGATTCTTCAAAATTCTGTAATGAATTTGGAGCGGAGGAAAGACAAACAAAGAAAAGTGAGAAATTAGAAAAAGTTTTTCAAAAAATGAAATCGAAAAATGTTTCAACAATTCACACCTGAAATAAAAGAAGAAATTGTTAATTTTCTACTCATTTTCTAATTTCGTTTTTATCAACACCTACACCAATATTCCTAAAGAAATTCTGAAATTTTTCTCTTTCTTCCTAATTATTTATTCAACATACATTTTCAATGATGAAAGATATCTTTCACATTTTCACTCTCTCTCTCTCTTTTTTTTGCACAAAATTATCATATTTTTTCACAGGAAAAAACTTTGTTGGACAAAACACATTGACATTGAACATTGGCACATTGGCAATTAAGTTGCATTTTTTTTTTGTTTGAATTGTTTCAGGTGTAAAATTTATAAAACTTACCGAATTTTGTGTAACAAATTGGTAGATTACAAGAAAAACAAAGATTCGATTATCCTAATTTAAGATATATCTGTATAAAAGAAAAGGTAAACAAAGAGCCAAAATTATTTTCTTGTTTGAATATTCTTCAATCTTAATCAGAAGAAATGCTCCCCCCCAAAATACAAAAACATGCATACATTGTGAACACACAAAGCCACCAAGATACAAAATTGAAAAACATGGACAAAATCCAATAAAACAAAACTCACCTTTTTTGCTTTGTTTCGTTTCAAAATTTTTGATCCAACAAGAATTTTCGTTTGTTTTGTTTTTTTGTTACCCAAGAAGAAAAAAAAAGGTTGAATATAGGTTTGTTTTTCTAATTATTTTGATGATGATGATGATAAATTTAAGGAGAGGGTTTGCTCTCTCTCTCTCTCATATACATATACACACTTTTTTTCAATATGAAAAACTCTTTCTTTTTCTTTTCTTTTTTTCTTGTATGTGTTGTTATATTGAATATAGATGCTATTTAGTTGATGATGATGATTATTGTAAAAAACAACACACACACACATATCACACATACATACCAAAAAAAAAAAAAAAAAAAAAATCTGGGGGGGGGGTTGTGTTGGGTTGGCTATGGAAAAAA